TTTTTCCCTTTCATGATCTCCTACAATAACCAAATGCTAAATACAGTAACCAATTAATGTTTAGATCCCTGAAAGTGTAAGAGAGTGTATAAGCAAGAAAACAGTATCACTGTATGGATGACAGTATTTTTTCAGTGGTGTTGCCATGTAAGGCAATATACTTAGAGTCTATATACTTAGCTCAAACTTGTTATTGATACTACATTTGCAAAAAACCCCCTGAATTTAATCCTATTAATTTTTACTCTATTTTTTTTTTTTTCTCTTTCTGTATTTCCCTTAACTGTAATCTAGTCACTCTGGGTAGTGGTGATAAAGCCTATTGCAGCATTCATCGTATGTATGTAACTTGAAACAATTGGAGTGACAACCCTTAGTGCTTGAAAATATTAATTGTGCTAATCTGTTGCTTTTGAGCAGAGTTGAAATGTACTGAGAAACAATGTTCAAGTTTCCTGTCCAAGCATATGAGTAATTAAATACTTTGAATGGTATATTTACAAAAGCACCATTCTATTACAGTTACTTCCAAAATGTCCTAATAGTGGTATGAACCATTACAGCTGCTGATGGTTGTACTTATTTAGTATAGAGAAATCCCACCTAAAGTGGGGAGTTACTGTACGAGGAGCTGGGTGTGAGACTTCTGGCACAAGATAATTATGGGACTTGCTCAAATACATGATTTTTGCTTAGTGAAATAGGAAGGATTTTTATTTTTGTCTGTTGCTGGAGTGGAGGTGTACGGAGGGGCAGACAGGTAAACATGTCACAAGAAGAAACAGCTAAACCGTGCATTTACATAAACTTGAAATGAGAGAAGGTTTTGAGTTATCAAAGTAGTATTGTAATTTTAAAATGAACCTTCATCAGTTTTCAAAAGGGATTACTTAATGTCATTGATCAAAACAGAAGGAGGACTTAACAGGCAAGGAGGTTTTTTTCAGTTCTGTGATCTCTGCCCTTTGTAGAACTGGAAATAAGTCAGCTATTTGTCACTCAGATGTACTTGTCCCACTGTGAAACTGCAATGTAAAAAAGGGGAAATGTAAAAAAGCAGAAATTTCATGTCTTAGAGTTTTTTGCCTCATGGTCAAATCATTGCAGTGGAATTGATGGCAAGAATCATAGGCCTGCATGTATAACACCTTGTATTTACTGTGTAATTGTAGCAACCAAACTTTTGATTTACAATTTTTTTACTAAAATCTGACAAATTAGTTCACTTTCCTTTTTTTTGCCAATTAAGCACAAAAAGCTTAACACACATAATAACAGCCATAATGCTGGCCTGGGAATATGTTGTTCCAAGAAATGTATTTCCATCTCCTTTTGTTTGGACTGTACAGAATAAACTTTTGCTTTAACTTTAGTTTACTTGTAGTATAAAGCATCCATTTGATCCTTTAGTCCTTGTATGTTTCAAAATCCATTTATTTACGAATAGTCATGGATGTTTGAGAAGTCTGAAAGACAGGGAGAAAAACTCCACTTGCAGAGCATTTGCTGCAGGGTTTATGTAGTGTGTGCTCACTGCTTTTCTACTGAGAGGATTCAGGTTTATCTGCAGTACCAAATGGTTCCTCTGGAGTCAAGTAGTAGTAATCTGTAGTAGTTCTGTAGATTGAAGCATGGTTGTGTTGACTGAATGCACAATGGCATTGGTATTGTGCTGGCTAAGGCTCCTTGGTTCACAAAGGGTTTTGGAAAGTGAAGAGACATGAAAAATAATATAGAAATGAAGTTGTATCTTTTCCACATACTTTGCACAGGAGTTAGCTGTACAGGATTCATAATTCTATGCAGGCATTGAGTTCAGGGGGTGGGACTGAAGCTGTGGAAGTTGAGAGAGTGCACAATTCTATGATTTTAGTATTTTTTTTCATTCTAATATATGCATTCTCGTTTGAGAGTCTTTGACATTATTATCTACTCAGGGACTTTTCTTTCTGGCTGCTTGTCTAAAAGTTGCAATAACCTTGATAAGTCAACTGTAACCTCCTTTATTAACCAAACTGGGAAGTCTGTAGAAAATTCCAACTGTGAGGAAGTTGCATAGCTGGAATATGTGCTTCATGCTGTACTGCATGGTACTCTGATACTTTTCTGGGCATCTCACTTTGCATCTTCAAGTGTTTCAAGTTTCCTGCCTCGTACTGAATGGATTTAGAAAAATATGCTTGTCATGGGGCTATAGGGTAAAAGAACACATCCATCCTAAAGTAATGGTATAATTCTCTCACATATCTGCCTTTTTCTTGCCTGCTTTCATTGCTTTTTCCCCTTCATGTTTAAAAAACAAACAAAAAATAAATAAAAAACCACACACAAGAAAGAAACAAGGACATCTTCTGGAATCTTTGCGTTAAGGACAAGATAAACTGTTTTCTTTTTTCATTTCCTGCCATTTCATGCTTCTGTCAGGACTTTTGCAGGAGAAAGGGGAGGTCAGCATTCAGTTGTTTGGGAAAATAAGACTTGGTTACAGATATTTAAATAAACCCAAAACAAACAGCTTAATTGGTCACACAAGGAAGCAAGGTACCAAGGTCATCATCTCCTTCGCTGATATGGCATCCAAGTCACCCTAAACATCTAATTATCCTTTTTCTCTTAACTTTCCTCTGTAACTAGCTTTGTAGTTTCTATTAATAGCATGTAAAATGGGTGCTGTGCAAGGCAGGCAAAGGTGTCTGCCCCCATTCTACATGAAGGCAGACGTCCTTGCTATGAAAGTGGAGAAAAAGGGATTGGGGTTTAAGTGCAGCTGTTTCCTCCAGCATTAGGGAACTGGTTGTGCAACAAGGGAAAAATATGGAGGGTGACTGGCTGTGGGGTGGCCATAGGCTCTGGAAAGTCTACAGAGAGGCAGTCAGTCTTATGACAAATTCCACTTAACATCAGGATTCTCTCCAGGAATCCTTGCTTTTGTGTTTGCAGGGAACTGTACAATTTGTGTTCAGTTCTGCTTGAAAAGATTCATCTTCAGACAATGAACATGGACTCATGAATTCTCTCTGGTTGTCAGGCTGGTTTGTGACTTTAGAGACTCCTGAAGATTTTGGTTCTTTGCTGACCTGCCTTCAGGAGACTAACAACTGTGTCCCTGAAGAGAATAATCATATTGGAAGCCATTTAATTATCTACTTCCTGTAGAAACTGCTTAGAGAGTGAATGCATTTAAATATTATTTGGGTCTTTGGACCTAAATGTTGTTAATGTAGGGCAAAGGGAAGTCTCAGTAAAGAATCTGTTCTTGTACACCAACATGAAATTTCAGCCCCAAAAACGTTTCAGTTAAGTGAGAGACAGTAGGCCAAGAAATGTGGCTTAAAGCTCTTTAAAATAGCCAAGTCTGAGTTTTAGTATTTTTCAAGTAGTTTAATACCATGGCAACAAGAGCTTCAATGCTTGAAAGAATTTGGGACAGAATTCTCACGCTTCCCTAGGAGAAGACAATAGTGCTTCGAGAGATTTGAAGTGGTCTGCAAATCTGAGGTGGTCATGGGTGCTTGTGAAACAGATTTCCCTCCCCCCCCCCCCCCCCCCCCCCCCCCACGCTTCCCGTTACCAGCCAACAACCAA